AAGTGACTAGTTTTAAAATAACAAGAGTAACGCAACGTTCCCCTATACAAATCACTCATCAATATCTACTCAATCTAATAAAAATCAATAAAGTTAGGCCTATAATAAAAACTAAAAAATATTGATCCAATTGTTGGTTGAAATGAATGATTCATATTATTTTGATTTTAGTATTTCTTTTATTATTTTTCTTACATTATCTTCTATTATATCGTTTATTCACTACTGGAAATTATAGAATTTCCGATCACCCGAAAGTGATCTTAAATCAAGTCGAAAGTCTTGTTCCGATCACTTTTGATATTCGGAAAAACCTTTATTGCTATTTTCGACCACTTTTTGCTTTCAATTTGATTTAAGATCACTTTCAAGTGGTCGGAAATTCCATAATTTCCAGCAGTGACTTTCTTTAAATATTCCCGCATTCCGTTAGTGTAAACCTTAGTAACGAAATATTTCATTAACCATTTATTAGTCTTAAGTAACTCGTTGATTTTCATAAGGAAGGTCTTAGGTTCGAAGCACTGCACATCCTAATCATATCAGAGCTTGCATAATTGTTGAACATATACTATGAATATGTTAGAGTGTATTAAAAAAATACAATGGGGATGTTTGGTAAATAGATGTTAGCTGATTGGGTTAGTGAGTTTGACTAGTTGATAGCATAAGTTGATTATAAAAAGATGTTTGGCAAATTAGTTGTTAGTTGATAGCTGATTACATGCAAATTGACTTTTTCAAAAAGTTGAACGAAAAAGCTACTTTAAGCAGCATTTTGAATTTTAGCTTTTTGGAACAATAAACGGTTAAAAAAATAAAAAACTAATTAATCAAACACTCATATGGGTTGTTTAACCAAGTCAAACAAATAATAGCGGTTAAACAAGTCAAAATTAGATGATAAGTTAAGTATATTACCAAACAGGGCTAAATATATATAAAATTAAACATGAATTTTGGTTAATATATTAGCCAAATTATATACATTGCATTAAAAATTAAGCATCAAAGATTACTAATAAAGAACCTTGAAAATTCTTTTCTTGCATATTTTTAAACAAATCTAGGTTAAGTTTTTTCTTTATCTCCTTTTTTTGTTTAATTAATCTTCTTTTGATTATTTAGAACAAGACTCAATATTTTATTTATGCTTTTGTATTATTGAAAATAATTTAGGTCATTATGGTACAATTGTATATTACTTTACAAATATTGTACTATTATTCTTTTATCGAACAAAATTATTCTTACATCATTAAAGTTTCATAACTATATAAGCCATGTTAGGATAGATTTCAGGAGGCCGGGAGGGATTTTTTAGAGGAACAAAGTATGTATATATATATATATATATATATATATATATATATATATATATATAGAGAGAGAGAGAGAGAGAGAGAGAGACACACACACACACACACAAAGAAATTTCACTTTTAGTGACAACATAAGTAGGGGTGTTCATTCGGTTAACCGTTCGGTTAACTGAACCGTTTTAACCGAACTGAATTAACCGAAATTTTTTTTGCCTTAACCATTAACCGAACCGAAATACGCTCTACCGAATTAACCGAACCGAACTTTTTTTCGGTTAATCGGTCGGTTAACCGATTAACCGAAATTTTTAACCCTAAAATTGAAAATCCTAAAAATAACTCCTAAAATAATAAATTCAATTAAAATAAAATACATATCATAATAAATTCATATCAAAACATACAAAAATAATACCATAAGTCCATAATCCATTTGACTATTTGGGATTTTAGTACATATTATATATTTATATTTAATATTTAGTATATTATATATATATTCCAAAATTCGGTTAACCGTTCGGTTAATTCGGTTAACCGACACTTTCGAACCGAATTAACCGTTAACCGAATTTTGGGAAAACCTTTAACCATTCTCCGAACCGAAATATTTCGGTTAAAAAACGGTTAACCGAATTATGTCGGTTAGATTTTTGTGGCCCTGTTCGGGTAAATAAATAAGGCTCTAGCAAAATTAATTAAAATCTTTAAAACTAATACCGTAATTTTATTATCTAAATATATAACAAAAAAAAAAAAAAAATTTATCCGTGCATCGCACGCACATTGCACGCGCACTGCACGGATAATTGGGCAATTATTTGCTCGAATTCAAGCAAGGATAACATAAAAAAACATAATCGATACAACCCATTTCATCAATTGCACTATATAATATTCGTTGTTATAATTTAAAGATTATAACAAATCTTTTCCGTGCAACGCACAAGTAAAAATAGACATATTATGGAATAATAATAATAGTGTGCACAAGTTTTGAACCTTAGACCTCAAAATTAAAATACAATAAATATATGTACCCTACCATTTCTTTATAAAGCCTTTTAAATTTTATTAAAAACTTTTAATTTTTATTTCTAAACTAACTAGGTAAAAATAAAATATTGAGCTTCTAAAATTTGGGACCCCTCTAAAATTTAAGGCCCTGTGCGGTAGCTCAGCTTGCACAGCCCAAAATCCAGGCCTGGCCGTCACTATTGTAATAGTGATGACTTTTGAAAGTTGTCACAATTACTCAAAATTTTTGTGACAAGGTTTACTTACACTAAAAATATTATTTGAGTGATAATATTAGGGTCACAATAAATTTACATTCTGTGACCAAATATGTTATTACAAAAAAATAATCTAGCAACAACTAAATTCGTTGCAATTAATCTTTTTATTGTGACAACACTTTAGTCACAATAATTGTACTTATTTGTGAGAATTGTTGTTGACTAAAAAAAAAAGGTTATCACCAGGACCATGTGGTCTAATGGTACCCGGGTTGGACTTCCATTTGGAGTTCGAGCCTCAGTGGAGGCGTTATTGGTTCTTTGTGTTTCAGTAGGTTGAGAAAGTATATGAACAGATACTACAATGTAATAGAGCCAGTAACATTCAAAAAAAAAAAATGTTATCAGTGACCTCCAATTGGTAACAGAATTACTTTGTTATGACAATAATCATTTCTTTATTCTTCTTTCCCTCTTCTTGAAGTTTATTCTGCAATTAAGATATATATTAATTAATATAATAATTGAGTAAATTAATTTAAGAATGTCACAACATTTATATGATTATAATTTTCATACCATAATTTTCTCTCTATTTGAAATGGACCTAGTTCCAGTAGACTTTTTTCTTGATACTTTCCAAACTTCAAGACATTTGGCAATTCATTAGAATCTTTGTCTTTCTATAAAATGGAGAATAAAGACAACAAAAAGTAATGATTAATTGAAAATTTTGTGGATAAAATAACATGAATTTAATTTTTAGTCAATAAAATTTTACTTTACCATCTCATATACAATTTGTAGAACAGATTTTGTACCACTAATTGATTTGATTTATTGATTTCCTCTATTATTTTTATTTTTTTTGGCTTTGGTCCTACATATAAATAATTAAAAAGTTATTATTAATAAAATAATAAAGAGTTAATTACCGAAATGGTCCCTTGACTATAGCGAAATTACCCAATTTGATCCTTGACTATTTTTTTTTTTACCAATTAAGTCCCTCAACTTTAAAAATCTTAACCAATTTGGTCCACCATTTGTTTGACTGTTAGTCAACCGTTAACTTGGGACCAAATTGGTAATTCGCTATAGTCAAGGGACCATTTTGGTAATTAACTTTAAGGGTGGGCAATTCGGTTCAGTTTTCTTGAACCAAACCGTACCAAACTAGTTAGATTCGGTAATATACCGAACAACCGAATGGTAATAGATTCTTGTATACCGAACGGTTCGGTAAAAACTCGAACCGAACTGAATTGTTCGGTAAAAACCGAACCGAATAGCGTTTGAACTTTGGATTGCTATTTTGTTATATATTAGACTTTGGATATAGACTATGTAAACACCATAACACATAATATAGAACTTTTGATAACAAACCATAAAGAAATCAAATAAAGCATATACGAGAAATACCCGTGAGAATATGAGCTAAACGGCATAACAAGTAGCAAGGGACATGGATTTACTTTTTATTTATTTATTTATTATTATTATTATTATTATTATTATTATATTTTTTTGAAAACAATCAAACAGTGTTCAGTTCAGTTCAATTTTTTGCCGAACAATTCTGATCGGTTCGGATCAGTTTTTTATCGAATCGTTCGGTATACAAGAATCCAATACCGTTTGGTTTTTCGGTATATTACTGAACCAAACTAGTCCGGTTCGGTTTGAAAAAACTAAACCGAATTGCCCACCCCTAAAGTTAATTACCAAAATGGCCTCTTGACTATAGTGAAATTACCAATTTGGTCCCAAGTTAACGGTTGACTAACGGAGGACCAAATTGGTTAAGATTTTTAAAGTTGAGGGACTTAATTGATTAAAAAAATAGTCGAGGACCAAATTGATAAGAGTTAATTACCGAAATGGTCCCTTGACTATAGCGAAATTACCAATTTGGTCCTTGACTATTTTTTTATCCAATTAAATCCCTCAATTTTAAAAATCTTAACCAATTTGGTCCTCCGTTTGTTTGACCGTTAGTCAACAGTTAACTTTGGACCAAATTGGTAATTTCGCTATATTCAAGGGACAATTTTGGTAATTAACTTTAGGGATGTGCAATTCGGCTTAGTTTTCTCGAACCGAACCGAACTAGTTTGGTTTGGTAATATACCGAACAACCGAACAGTATTGGATTCTTATATACCGAACGGTTCGATAAAAAACCGATCCGAATTGTTCGGTAAAAAATTGAACTGAACCGAATACCGTTTGATTTTTTAAAAAATATAATAATAATAATAATAATAATAATAATATTATTATTATTATTATTATTATTATTATTATTAAATAAATAAATAAATAAAAAGTAAATCCAAGTCCCTTTCCTCAAGGAAACTTCAAGAGTGTCTTCCCCGGGCCATTCTAAGTACGAGAAAAATACTAGTTGGTTCATTCATTACACTTTCAACAAGATCAAGACAACAAAAGCTTGGACCACAATGGTGAAGGGAAAACAACAAGTCGAGGGAACTAGTCAGGAAGCACCTACCTACTCAGTAATAGGAGGTAAAACCTATTTTCCCGAATTCTTTTCCGAAGATTTTAATAGTATATTGGAAAATCGAGGTTTGTTGAGGAAGTTTCTAAGAATTCAAGAAGAAATTTACCCTGATTTAGTGATCGAGTTTTATGAGAATTTGTCCACAAAACATAAGAAGGGAGTGACTTCGATTGTCTCTAATGTGAGAGGCACGAAAGTAGAATTGACACCACTGAAATTGTCAAATTGGTTTGACTTACCGTTGGATGGATTGGATATGTATGATCGGGAGGATTGGGTTGCCCACGCAGGGTTGACACATCAAGAGTATTTGAGATACCTGACCGGGAGTAGGGAAGAGTTCCCTAAGGAATATCGTCCCGAGAGACCTACTTTGACTAGAGAAAAGAAATTGTTAGTTTTGTTGATAAAAGAGTGCTAGTTTCCGTGTAGGAACAACTCTACGGAGATTGGTAGTTGGACTTGTACTATTGTTTTTATGTTGAGATTTGGTCGTGCTATTAATTTTCCAGTTTTGATTCTTAAGCACATGGCTTACTTTAAGGCAAAGAACGGGAAGAATCTGCCCTATGGCATGATGTTAAGTTGAGTTTTCAAAAAGATGAATTTACCTGAGTTGGGAGAAAGGATCCAAAGAACCACTAGGTCGGCTTTGAATGCCGTCAGTCTGAGATATTATGAGTTGTATCAGGTTGCTGAGAACAACTATTTGACCCTAGCTGACATTGCTAATAAGCCCTTGGACGAGAGAATGGCTGTTCTGGTTAGTTTGAATGTACCACAAAGAAAGTGGTCGAATGTTGGAATCGAATCAGGACACATAACTAAGGCTAGTGGAGAAGGGGTTGCAATGGGAACCGATTCGGGAGTTGGCATGAGTCATGAAGGAGCACCATTTACATCTACTCAGCCGAGAGCACCACAAGGTTATATGAGTGGGCCTCAAGGACCTACTTATGAGGATCTATATGCCATGATCAACAACTGTTTTGACAATTTGAGTGCTCAAGTGAGCTATGGTTTTGCCAACTTTGATCAAAGGGCAGCAGTCATGGAACAAAGGATGGGGATTAAGAATGTACAGAGATGGACTCCCTATGGTTGGGATCCGAGCTACATGCCACCAGGTGATTCCTCGGGAGGCTTTGATCAAGGTAACTAGTCAAGCTTTTAAGTTCAGTTATAGATTCGTTGGTGCAGTAGTTTAGATTTTAGATAAGTTAGATAAGAACTCAAAGATTCCTAAATCTTTCCAAAGTGTTCCAACAGAAAATTCCAACCTTTTGGTTTTATCGCCTTTTCTCTTCGAGAACTTGATCCAGCCGTTTCTTCTAAGTTTCGGGACGAAACTTCTTTTAAGGGGGATAGAGTGTAACAACCCAAAATTTCATTTTATAAATCCGATATTAAGAAATCCCAAAATAGCCTTTTTCACTCTATTAAAAATTTTTAGGAACAATTGGTGTTTGAATAAATTATTTTTCGTCACATTTTAAATTAATTCAACACCAAAAATGGATTCTATTCGAAAAATCCTAAGTTTCCGGGTACTTCGCGTACCAAGATTTAAATCGAGAAATTTATCTGAGTGAGACCGGGAGAATTCAAAAAGATTCTAAACAAGTGTCCATCCAAGTAGCTTTTTGAGAAAATTCATTTTCAACCCCAAGGTATTTAAAGTTAGCATTTCTAGCCTTAGTCCATGATACAAGGTGAACCATTCCATTCCAAAAGACTTTGCTGAGAATTCATTTTATGCAAGTTTTTACCCTTTTGCCCTCAACCAATCATTGGCCTTCTACCTAGGGTTTTGGACCCTATATAAACCCCATTATTCCATCTTGATTCCCTGATCTCTTTCTTTGAAAGAGAAAGAGAAAACAACATCACAGTAAGCTCATTTCATTCTTCAATCCTAACCTTCATTTCTCTTCTAGTTTCTTTTAATCTTTGAGGTTCTAGGCTAAGGTTGTATGGTGTGTTTGGGAAGTATAGGTGGTGAAGGAGGCTCAAGCTAGATAGAGAAGAAGAAGAGGTCCAAGTTAGAAGAAAGACTACAAGAGGTATAACCTCATGGATTCCTCTTTAAAATTGGCTCTGTGAAGCCTTAGATTTGAGTAGAAATGAGTAGAAACTATGAGCTTTTGATGTGTTCATGCTTAGAAGTGATTTAGTATTTGTTTGTGAGTTGTTGAGATTGTTTTGGACTTGTTTGGATTGGATTTTTGCAAATGAAAACCCTTCTGGTGCACAACACAGTGTGCACCAGATCAGATGAACGGCCCTAGCCGCGGCCCATCAAGAGGGCCGCCGGCTAGAGCCGTGCATACACGGGACTAGGGCACGACCCTAGAGGAGTGCTGCTGCCTAGTCCCGGTAAAGTAACGGGGTGTGAGGAGCGGACCATGAGGAGTCTCGCCCCAGGCCCCTGACTTTGATTTTGAGAAGAATCTGTGCAGTGGCCGGGCCCTTGTGGCTCAGCTACGTGTCGTTTCGGGCCGAGTGTTACGGGCCCTTGTGGCTCGGCTCTTCGGACCGTCTCGACGCACGTTTTGGCTTTGATTTCGTTGAATTTGGTTTTTAAATGAGTATGTTATGAAGGAAATTGTGAAGAAATACTACAAAGAGGATATATTTTGCTATGCACTGTATATGAGAAGTTGTATCTTTGTGATCTGTTTGATGTTTTATTAAGTATAGAAGCATGATCATTTGAGAATGTGATTCACTACTATAGTATGATTAAATCGTATTATTTGATCCAAGAGAATAGAAGCATATTTGTTGAAGTGAAATGTATAGAAGTTGCCTATTTGAAATCGAGCATGACATTATATTTTGAATTCTTCATGTTATTTTATACATGACTTAGATGCATGTTATAGAGCATTATGGCATTTCACATGTGTCATTTTTCAAAAATGCATAAGGGGCCAACGTGAGCCCGAGAATACTTTTAAAAACCATAAGCATGTGTTATATCATTCTTTGTTGTATTGAGAAGTAGTAGAGTTGTTTGCATGCATGAGATTGATGCATGAGAGATATATTTATGTATTATCTATATCAGTGAGGTTTTGGAGGATACCGTTTGGACTATGTCCACTCGGGAGATATATTTATGGACATTGCGGTCCCAGTATATGTAACGCGGCGTATTCCCACGTTACGAGGTTGGAAACTTCCCGCCAGGCTTGAAATCCTGGTTAGGGGTGTGCACACTAATAGTTCGATACTTGATTCCAGAGTTTGAACCACGAGATTGGTTTCGTAGACGGTAGGAGATATTGGGTTGGATTTATACCGTTCCCGATGGGGTAATTCACGCTTCGGTGAAACCCTAAGCCGTCTACGAGTATAGAGAAAGAAGAGAGTCAAAAGAGACTCAAGAAAGAGAGTCAAAAGAGACTCAAGAGAGACTCAAGAAAGTAAGAAAGAGACCTCCACAGAAAGTACTCTATTTTTATAAAGAGTGTATTCGTATATATATATATATATATATATATATATATATATATATATATATATATATATATATATATATATATATATATATATATATATATATATATATACATACACATAAAGTATTGCACGAGATTGCATATGAGTATGATTATATTATTGCACGAGATTGCATAAGAGTATGACTATATTATTGCATGAGATTGCATGTGAGTATGAGTGTATTATTGCACTAGATTGCATAAGAGTATGATTATAATATTGCATGAGATTGCATATGAATATGAGTGTATTATTGCACTAGATTGCATAAGAGTATGATTATATTATTGCATGAGATTGCATATGAGTATGAGTGTATTATTGCACTAGATTGCATAAGAGTATGATTATTATTGCATGAGATTGCATATGAGTATGAGTGTATTATTGCACTAGATTGGATAAGAGTATGATTATATTATTGCATGAGATTGCATATGAGTATGAGTGTATTATTGCACTAGATTGCATATGAGTATGAGTGTATTATTGCACGAGATTGCATATGAGTATGAGTGTATTATTGCACGAGATTGCATAAGAGTATGATTATATTGTTGCACGAGATTGCATATGAGTATGAGTATATAGTTGCACGAGATTGCATATGAGAATGTATATAGTACTGCATGAGATTGCATAAGAAGTATGATTATAGCATTGCACGAGATTGCATATGAGAGCGATGTATAGTATTACACGAGATTGTATGTGAGTAGAGTATCGTATGAGATTTCATAATGAGAAGTTTGACTTAAGATTTTCCATTGAGCATGATTATCTTGTTGTACAAGAAGCTCTATTTATCAAGTTATGTGATAAGAATGTGAAAGCATAAGAACACCAATTATATGGTCTAATAACATTAACCTATCTGTGAGCATGAATTGCTTGTTAAGTTATTTGAGAAGTTTATAAGTCGATGAATCTATGTGAACAGTCTTATACATATTTGAGCAAGCCAACTAATATTATAGGGTGCAAGCATCTAGAAAGAATGTTATAGATCTAAAGGTGATTTGAGATGAGCGTATTGCTATAAAGAAATCATATGTTTTCTAAGTAAATGCTAGAATGCTTTACAGGGTTAGTGTGGTTATACTTAGCTTCGTGCTAACGGGTGTTTTTCCTATTTGTCTATGTGTTGCTTGCAAAATCCCTTTCAGGTGGGCCCAGCAGTGTGAAGAAGTCGAGTTAGATTAGTCTCGTAGTTAGAGATATCTAAACTCTAGATGGATGGATGGATGTTTATGTTATGGTTTAGACTTATCGACTTTATGTTTTGAGGATGTTGTAGACTATTTGGGGTGACGTATTTCCCCCTTATGCTTCAATTTTTATGATGGATGCCAGACTTTTACTTTATTTCTAGTTTTACCCCTTTAGCCTGTGCAATCACCACGGAGTGGTGGTTGTGGCGGTGACACTCACACTATTTATCTTCTAGTTTTTCCGCTGCTTAGTGATGTAAATGACTGTTTAAAGTTGTATTTAAGAGTTAGAAAAGTGGGGTGTTACACCCTCGTATGCCACATGACGGACTCGCCCTTCATAGTTGAATTTGGAGATCAGAGGTTTCTTTAGATCGACCTCCACACAGATCCTGGCG